CGGGGCGGCTGCCCTGCCGCCGGCGCCTGCCTGAGGGGAGGCTGCGCCCCGAAGGGATTGCACCAGAGGACGGGTCCAATAACAACAACAACAAAAACCAAACCAGCAGCTTTGCTCTCGCTGCTCGTCTTCCTGATTTCCGTGAGAGTACTGCTGCGTGGACTTTCATTACCCACCCCTCCCACACACAGGCACAATTTCCTGGTGCTGTTACTGACCAGGGTGAAGGAAAGAGACTGGAGTAGGAGCTCCCTGGTTTGAGATCTCCTTTGCGTACAAGGTGGTTTCTGCCTCTCACGTGCTCCTGAAGAACAGGCAGCAGTACTTTGGAAGTAGGCTTGGTGATGGTAAGGGCAGAAGTAGTACCTCTGCCTTTCAGTGGTCAGACAGCAGACAGTAAGTGACTCTTTTTGTCCTGTCCCTGGGAGGATGAGGGCCGCTTTTGTCACCCTCTTTTCTTGATAACGTTGTTGGGCTGTACGTATGGGTATTGTAACTTGCTCATCTGAAGCGAGTACTCAGATTGGCGAGACACACCTGGAAAACTGGAGGGGTGGACTGTGAACGTACACAGACTGTGGATGCAGAAGAGGACTGGGCAATAAGGATTCTAGGAGCAATCAATGCTATTGATTGGCAATTAAAAACAAACCATGATGTAACTAGTAAAAGCAGCATGGTCTAAGGACTGCTTGGAAAGAAGACGACATATGAATTAAGTTTGTGAAAATGCTTTCTAATAAATCTGAAGAGCAGCTTCCTGTTTCAAGAAGCTCTGTGCTAAGTGGATGATTGCATTTTTGTCATTGTCCACAGGTAAGGCTGAAGTCAGGTCTCTAGTGAAAGGTAATATTAAAGACCATTATGTTTCTTTGTTACTTTAGGTTATTTTGGAAGAGTAAAATAGTTGGTTTTTATCAGGAGAAACAAGATCTGGTACTTACTGTAGTAGGCGAGGCAATAGGAATGCCCGTGCCGTCTGTCAGGTGTAGATGATGTCTCCTTGTGTGCCTTGGATCACACGTCTTACACAGAACAGATAATAGGCAATGAGCAATATTTACAGTGGCACTCTTTCTCTCTTTATTCTGTGTACCCTGAGACATACAGGGAGAGAAAGAGACAGCAACTAGTGTTTCAGCAGTGAGATAAAGTATCTTGAATAAGGCCTCTACAAAGTATTAAAGGCTTGTTGATAAAAATTACTTGCACGCTTTTGCAGAAGCAAAATGGCAGTAAAACTCTTCAGCTTTTTCTGGTCTTCTGATCAGTTACAAGGCCATGTGTTCAGCTGTTTGTCTAAAGCGTCTCCTGTGATACATGTGGTTTCTTGGAGGGAGAAGCTCTCTGTGACTATTATTTCCCCTCTTGCTCAGGGATAAAGGATTAACTTAGACTGCATTATAATGTTTTGTTTTTTCCCTAGCTTTGAGCAGGAAGTGATTTCCTCAGATACTTCCATAATGTAATACTTAAAATTTGTGTTAATGAAAAGTGACTGCAGTTCAGGAATGCAGGGTGGGTTTCTGTGTACATAGAATTTTTGACAGAACCATACTTTGAGCTTTTCCTAACCTAGGCAGAGCACACTGTGTGAGGCAATTAGATCCTGGCCCTCCCATGCTGTCATCTTCTTCACAGGGTTTCTGTCAGTTATGGGCAAAAACAAATTCTTGTGACTGTAGAATTCTTCTTCTGGCAAGCATTTTGCTGGCTTTCACAAACCTCCTGTGCCCTGGTAATGGGTGCTGTGGAAGCTGTAACAATGATTACAATACTTCAGTTGAAATCCAACACTGTTTTAATTAGAGATGGGTCCCCTGACATTAACTTAAACCTTAATGGCAAATTCTAACTACTCCAAATGTTCAATCTCTGTATGTGGTGTTCTGGATCCAGGCCTACCTATTATTCTATCTTTTTTCCCACTTAGGACTTTCAGAAGGATCTTTTCAGTGTTCATTTTCCTTGCATGGTTCAGTTGTGACTATGCATTACTTCTTAAAAGAATAGTTCTTCATAAATACCTTAAAACCCTGTTTCACATTTCTAAAAGAAACCCTGACCTTTTTTTTTCTTAATTATTTTTAATTTCACATCTACAGTAAAGTATTTCAATTTTATTTGTGTAATATTAGTAAATTTACATTTACTGTTTTCTCACTTGTCTTTCTAAGCAGTTCAGCAGCTGCTCTATAAGATTTTCAAGTTCAGGGAGGCAAGTCTGTTCAAGTGCTGTGCCTTAAATCACTGTTCTGAGCCTGTGTACTTCTTTGGGTACATACAGAACAGTTTATAGTATTTCTTAGCAGGGAGAAAGGAGACACTGGGAGACTGAGTAGTGCCATAGGAGGCTGTAAACCTGTTTAACTAGTTAACATTGTTTGTGTCAGCAGCCAAGTCAGTGACATAACTTTAGAAAGGCATTTTGTCTTTTAATGATTGTGGTGGAGGATAAAAATGCAAGGAGAACCAGAAATTCTAGAGAAAGCATCTGGCTTTAGTAAAGGCACTAACAATAACTTCAGAGTGTAAAATTCCTTTAAAAAATAAAAGGCCTTGTGGGCTTTGAAATACAACTTCAATAGATAGTCTGTTGATAATTTCTAGGAAGGGCTAGTATGTATGTATTCAAGGCCTGGATTTACCTAGAGACTTTAGCTTGGACAGAACGTAGCTTTCTCGTTTATTGGTATATATTGTGTTGAAGTTGCATGTGTGTGTTTATTTGCTTTAAGATGCAACTCAAGGCTTTAGGGAATGTGTGATTAAAGATTATCTTTACTGCAGAATTAACTTGAACGTTCAGTTTAATTTGAGTCTCATCTATGCAAACCTCTTAGTTAAATGAGCCAACAGCATGCCTCATAGTTTAGTACGCTCTTTGCTTTGTCTGCTGTGTAAGGGGGAGTGTGGCTGGCAGTGAGGGACATGGTTACGCTTCTTTTCTGTGACACTGGTGAGGCCGTACTTTGAATATGCTTTTTGGTTTGGTGTACCACTGTTAAAGAAGGCTGCTGAGAAACTGTAGAGGGTCCAGCCAGTATGCTGAGGGGCGCAGGGCACATGAGCTTTGAGGAGGGATTGAGGGAGCTGGGCTTTAGTCTTGCGAAGAGGAGACCAAGGCAGCTTAGAGGCAATCTAACTGTGACCTACATCTGCCTAAAGGGGCACACTCTTCTCAGTAGTAAGAGATGATAAAAGAAGGGGCAGCAGCCACTAGTTTTAGCTTGGGAGGTTCAAATTGGACAATAGAAAAAACTTCGCAAGGAAAGTGGTTCATCACTGGGACAGATTACAGTTTTAAGCTGACTTAATTTGATATTGACAATGTTTCTGCTTCAAACTCGAGGCTGGAGTAGATGTACTCAAGAGGTTTCTTCCAGATAACACTTTCATTCTGTGAGGATATACTTCCATACCTGGATTCTCATGCTTCTTCCCTCCTGGACGTTTTCACTTCACTTCTGTTTGCAGTCACTTCATGGAGGGAGGTGATACACTGCACAGGCAGTCTTGACTTCCTGCAGTAGTCTCTAAATACAGAAGTTAAAGAAATGAGAATCAGTGATTCAGAACTTCTTGCTCAGAGAATCCTCTTAACCAGTCTGTCAGGGAAATTGTTCTAGCTGCCTTCTATTAAAGGATTTTTTTGTTGTTGTTTTTCTCCCTCAGGCTCGACTTGATTGTTCAGTTCTGAACCATGTGGCCTGTGGGTTTATTTACATTTTTTTCTTAATCAGCTTTTGAGTCTTAATTGGTGAGATAACCATACATGGTATATCCAGTAAGCCATGTGGCCTGTCAGTCCTCTGTACTATGGTGAAGGTAGCAGCAGCCCATTGGAAAGATAAATGTGCAGGGCCAAGTTATAGTACATTTGTCAAGTCTTGCTGTAAAAGTTAGTATCTTCCTTTCTAAAAATCTGTCTCAGAATAAAGCACACATAAGAATAAAGTAGGTTATTTCTTCACTTCATCCTATTCAGTACTTCGGTTTTAAGAAATTAACTTTAACAGGTGTATGATCAAGTATGAGAGAGGCTTCAAAGTGGGGAGACACAATTCTGCAAGTTTTCTTGTACACACTGTTCCGGATGAAGCACATGTGAAATGTACCAGCACCCTTTACAAAGATGCTAATGCTTCACTTCCATGTCTGAAAATACTTCAGTTGGTACAGGCATAAGAAGCAAATGTGATCTTGGAATGTATCAGGCCGGTGACTCAGTCATCTTGTGATATGTTAATGTATGCACAATCTCTTCTTCCGGCTTATGCGCTACTAGTATATACAAGTTCTTTACTATTCCCTCAGTGTATGTGATGTTAAATGATCTTTTACTTCATGTTATGCTTTGTACTACTACATCTTGCCCTGCTTTTCTTTCTCCAAGCTTTGGGGCTACAGAATTCACTGTGTGTCATTTTGCCCAGCCTTTGCTGTTGATTGTGCTGTGAGTTTGTTTGCTGATGTGAAACTGAACTGTTTTAAAAACTAGTCCATTGGGAACTCATTGATATACCCCTCCATTCTGCTAGTTTCTATTTCACTCTCCCCTTTAGTGAATTTTTGACATAGTTTACAATTCTTACTCCATTTTTTACTGTTCAGTAGGATTCCCACATGTATCAGATGTTTTACTGAAGTTCAGTGTGTATCTGTTTCAGTTGTCTGCTAGATTAGTTTTTAATCTAAGTACAGTTTATTCAAGTAATCTGGTATCCTTTGACTGTATTACGTGTTTGTTTTAATGCATGCTCATGGCTGCCTTTCGACTTACTACATGTATCAATAATACCGTTCTGTTCATCACTAAGTAACACACCTTGCTGTGTTGTATGTGTGGATCTCCTTCTGGCTTGGTTTGGAGGTGGCCTTATACATCTGCTTTGCCTGCCAGAAAAATGTGGGAGGAAACAGAGGTAACTAGAATTGCAGTCAAGACCATTTAGGCCTGCTTAAAGTAGGGAAGACTGTGACTTCAGGCTAGGTTTCTCAGTGCTTCATCCAGCTGGACCTTGAAAATGTCCGGAGATGGAAACCGCAGAACTGCTCTGAGCAATTAGATTTTTACCTTTTATCCAGTCAGAAGCTCTGCTGTTTGTCCATTATGTCTGTTGTCTTTTGTTCTCCCACTGTACATCACTGAAGAGCCCTACTCTGTCATCTTGACACCTAGGGGGAAGTTATCTAGAAGGTATGGGATGCTGCTGTTACAGTCCCTCAAAACCATCTCTTCTTTAGGCTGGAGAACCTCTGTTCTCTTAGCCTCTTCTCACAGCCCCTGACCACCTTGGTGGCCCATCACTGAAATAGTTTTCATTTATCAGTGTCTGTCTTATATTAAAAGAGACTGGAGGGGTGGGGGACAGGAACACTAGAGCCAGTATTCCAAAAGCAGTCTGAGTGCCAAGTTAAGGAGACTAGTTGCTTCTCTCTGGCACTTTCAGTCTGCTGGCTATGCTCCTATTAATACAGCTGTGGATGCTGTTGGCTGTCCTTGTTGCCAGGGCACACGGCTGGCTCTTGTTCAGCTTGCTGCCTACCAAGACCCCCAGGCTTTTTTCAGCAGAGCTGGCCCCTGGCCAGGCAGTGCTAGCCTGTACAACACAGGGGATTCTTCCTTCCTGTGCAGAGGACTGTTGTCATGTTGAATTTCATAAGGTTCCTGTCAGCTTGTTCCTCCAGCCTGTCCAGGTCCCCCTGAATGGCAACCCTGCCCTCAAGTATGTTGACTGGTCCCCCAGTTTGATGTCATCAGCAAACCTAATGCAATAGACTTGTACAGTAGGATGTTTACTGAAGCATTGGGTATAATTTCACATACACAGGAGATCTCTGTGTGTGTTAGCAGAGCAGTTGCAGTGCACAAGTCTGCTGTATTATTAGGATAACCTGGCTGACTTTGAGCTTAGAAAAACTAGGTACCATTGGCTTAAGTGTGATAAGGCAAAGTGTAAATTCTGAAAGATCTAAGGATAGCTTGATATTGCTGCTTGATGGTCAAACTGCTTGTGTGGTATTGTGTACACTTGAAGATATATGACTAAATGGGCTTAAATACCCGAAAGAGGTGGACAATGATTATTAATTGGAAAAGTTGACTTCCTTTGCTGTCTCAGTAGAACAGCCATGATTTTTGCAAGTTTTCATTAATATATGAATCTGGTCTGCAGAGAGGTTGTACAGGAGGTAGAGATTGCACTTAGGTAATCTCTAATGTATTAAACTGTATACATACATGTTTCAGATGGAACTGGGAAGGAAGCTTACTGTTGTGAACACGTGCTGTGGCATAACATTTGGTGAAGCATTTCTGTTTACCCTGAACGTGAAATGTTATTTTAGAAGAAAGCCTGTGTGATGCGCACATATCAGGAGCGTCACGCATGGAGCTGGCTTTATGTCTCCTAGTCATTTGGAGAAGCGGCCTGCCTTAAAGTTGTTTCTATTGAATTTTTTTTCATTCTGAAAGCATGCATTTAATTATTTCTGCCTACGTGCTATGCAGCTGACTGGATGGCAGAAAAGAGGGTCTTGTGTTAGGGGAATCACAAAATGAACTTGGAGTAGTGCTTAATCTATGTTGCAGGAAAAAGCTGTTTTGATGTGGTGTTAATGCTGCATCAGCACTTCAAAGGTCTTGGATGCATTTAGTTTGGGGGTTTGCTTGAGAAAAATGTGAACAAAAGAATCATGTGGAGAGCAGTGATAAGGATCAAGAGTTTTGAGAGCATGACTTACTCGGAAAGACTGAATCATGGAATAAGTAGTTGCTTAGCAAGAGGAGGCTAAAGGGGGCATTGTTTATGACACTGCCTTGGTCTGAAAACTACCATTTTGGCTAGAAAACTAGAGGCTACTAGCATCTTGTAGGCTATTAGGCCCTCTTTGTTTCTGGTTCCTAAGACATTGGAAGATAACTGAAAATAATATTCTGGTAATTAGCGTAAGCATATCTAACTGCAGGAGGGGGAGAAGGGTCAATGAGGCAGTTGCTCTACTGAGATGTAGCCCCGGCTATTAGGAAACCCAAGTCACCAAGCCTTATGGAATATAAAGATTTCCTACTTTAATCTTTTTTGTTTCTTTATGTGAATAGATTATAAAGATGTAATTGTTATTGAGCAGAACTAATCTAATAAAGATGTAATATCTATGCTTTCTTAGTTTATCAAATAGTTGTTTCATGTGCTGCTAAATAACAATGTCTCTGAGAATATTTCAGAGAAAGACTACTTTTCTTTCCTTACTTTGTTGTGATTCAGTTTCTAAAAATCTTTGGCCCATATGTGCTGCATGGTTTTTTTAAGATCCTGTGAAAAATTGTGCCCTAGACAAGCATTTAGCAAGGTTGCTGCTTCTGCCTTTTTCTTAAACACATGTAAATCTAATGCATAACTTGCAGTTCTCATTGGGGGGTGGGGATGGGCAGGGGGATAAATCCTCTTTTTCTCATCTTCTTGACTATAATAAGATCAGTTACTAATTGTAAACAATTTGCATTAATTGTTGACTTGTCCAGCTTACTTGCTTTATCTCAGAGGATACTTGTTTGGTTTATCAATTTATTCCTCTGGAAAAAGTGATCTTTATAATTTCTGTCAACATTGAAATGAATAGATCAGTAATTGAGAAACATTGCAAGTTATTTGAGATTTAAGCTTATGCAGAAAAATAGTAGCGTAAAGGAAAATTTAGTACATTTTGCTCTATGTGGAGCTTGAAGATACTCCTAAGCGGTTCTTAGTATGTACCATTGCATTGTTACTCACTGTACAAATCTTGAGTTCTCTTTATCAGCTCTTATTGCCAAAGTCCAAGGGATGCGCTAGAAACATCAGCAAGCAGAAAACTGAAGGTCTACAATTCAGCTCAGATGGCATACTAAGAAATGTCAGTCTTGTGTGAATTTGAACTAGCAGCACCACAGGCATATTTTCAGTCAACCAAAATTCAGTGGCACAGGGCCATACAGAAGCAGTTTGTAGAAGCCTCCCTATAAATGTTGGAATTTAACTTCAGTTGTCTTCAAATTGCAGTTAAATAATGCCACTGACTATTGCATATTTTAAGGTCAAAGCTGCCTCATTGAAAACTGTATACTCCTAAAACATGATATTCCTAAAAACCCTTTTCCTATCTTGTATAAACATGTTGGAACAGTAAGTACTTCTCTCTGGTTGTGTTGATGATCATATGTAACCATTCTTATGCTACAGTCATTTAATCTTAAGTTTCTGTATGTATGCATTCAGGCTAAATATCAGTCTGTTGTCATTTTGAACACTGCCTTCTGCATCTTTCTAGTTCTAGTCTTTTAAATCCTAGATAGTTTAAATATTTTCTTGTCGTTTGTGGATCTGACATGTTATCTTTCACTTCAGTGTTTCAAGCTGTTGTGGAGGTCCAGTCCTGTGAAATGGTAGTTCAGAATTAAAGCATCAACCCTGATGTTACGAAAGGTCTGGTCTTGTTTGTGTCTAAAACAGCACAGCTAGAGATCTGATATCCTAGCACCACAGATCCCCTTATTAAACAAGTTACTGTTGACTCTTGAGGTTGTGTGCAGCATGGTCGGTGGTGTCAGGTTTTTCTTATACCTGTGGTCTGTGAACATCAGCCTTTGGTAGTCTCACTTGGGTACTGCTGGCCAATGAGGTAATGGTTGTGGGTAACCTAACAAGATCAGCTTGTGTGCAACAGAGTTATCAGGAAAATAAGTAAAATGAAAGGATGAGACTGATTTTTGTTGGTGCTGAGGTCTTTTCGGACCATCCTATGCTGGCAGCTGTTTCCCCTTTCGCATGCTTCCTAGAACACAAGGATGGCTGAAAGTTGCACTCACTTTCCTTTCAGAAATAAATAGCCTGCTCGTTCAGTGAGAGATAGCTGGAGACTTTGCAGTATGCCATCAGGGAGGTTGAACTCATGTCTCTGCTACTCTGACCTATTTTCACAATCGAAATACCTCCTAGTTTTGTTTCTGAGGTGTTAGGTGAAACGGATGGGTTCTCTATGAAGAGACAGCTCAAGCACTGGAGCTGTGGGCAGAGGTGTGGATTTTGATAGCTATGCCCGGTGCTTGCCCAGCTGGGTAGTCAGCGCACACACAGCTCAGCACTGCCTGCCTCCAGCTCTTCTTGACTCGGGGGACTTAGACACAGCAGGTGATGAAACTCTTGAATTGTGTATCCATATAGTGAGGAGGAGATGATGCTATCACAGAGGGAAGGAATGGAAGTGGGCACTGATGGGAAGGGTAGGAATTACTACTGTCTTAGGTATGGAGGGGATGACATTAAAAAAAAAAAAAGAAAAAAAGATAAAAACTGCAGATTATAAGCTCCAGGGGAATTTGTCATAGGAGTTCTCCTGATGTCTGCTTTCCTCCAAGGCGCATCCAACAGGGACCTTCTTTCCACACCCTACCCGCTGGTTGCTCTTGCTTTCCTGAAGTTACCAGAGTGCTCTGAAGTCTAAAGCAGCAGATCTTTCTGCCCTGAAGAACAAATAACTTTCCTTTTTTATTTCTGGCATGAGGAACAGAAGTGGTTATTTGTGCAAGACTTTATTCTACTGTTCAGTTACTGGAGAGGGAGAAGATAACTTATCTTGACCTCTTGAGTGACACCTTTCTGCAAACTCTTTAGACACTTATACATGAACCAGTAAGAAGCAAAAGGAAACTTAAATTTGGGTTAGGGAAAAAAACCACACAAACAACATTGGGCTGTATACAATTGAAGTGCATATATACATTTGTAGTATGGGGCGTCTTTATTTCTATCTAATAGTGGGGGGGTGGGGGCAGACAAGGGAAGAAGATGCTTGTTCTATAATAGGGGTGCTCAGTGTATAGATTATTAAGGCATTTACAGGATCCTGGACGAGATCAGTCTTTCTTCACCTGCATCCTTTGACTTTTGCTTAGGAGTATCTGAACCAGACTGCTGTTGAAAGAAGATGATTAGACTGCTGGCAAAGGTTTGATATGGGCTGAAAAATTTGGAACAGCTACAGTCAAGCAGCTGTTGCAGTTTTTCGGTAGCTTGCTGAGGAGGCACCTGTTGTGTTGCAAGGTCAGGTAGACACTTTGGTAACAAAATACTTGACCTGGAAGAGGAGACTGTTGGCTACTGTTAAGTCTACACACAAACTTATAGTGTATTTTAGTCATTACTGAGTTGGCTTAATTTCCCCTAGAGACATTCGTAGTGTCTTTAAAAACTGTTTATATAATCAGAAATAAAGGTTTATTTTAGGTAACTTTTTAAAAGCTGCAATTAGTAAATAAGGGAAGAAATACCTTTTAATGTACTGAATGAATATAGCTGGGTGCAGAATTACAGTGCCTAGATTTTCAGAATTTCTGGAAAGTTTTTAAAAGTTGGCTTAAAGTCTTGACTGTCATTCATAGCTATAAAAACTTAACATAATTAATACCATCCATAGATAAATTTTTATCTTGTAGGTATGGAAACGTTCTTCCTCAGACTTTTTTCAATATATAAAAGAAGTAGAATTAGTCCAATGTTTATTTCTTTATTATATAAAGAATACCCCAGGAGAGTACTATGTTGAATCTGCTAGTCTGCTAGAAATCACTTTTATTGTTGTCCTCTGCAGCTTGCCCTATATAGCAAATGTAAGGTATTTGCTGAGGTTTATGTTTTTGTTTTGTTGTTGTTATTATTAGTAGTAGTATTTTGTTTCTTGGGTTTGGGCACTGCAGAACTTCCTGTGTTAATTGTGTTGTTTTGTCCCCCCCGTCCCCCCCCCGATATCTTAATAGTTTCAACTATCCATGTAGAAATTTGGGAGGGGGTATATGGAAATTCGTGGAAGTATTATCTAGTCTCTTGTCCATTGTTGCAGTCAGGATACTAGTTAAAAATAATAACACATAAAAGTTGCGTTCAATTTATAGCAAGTTTCCTTACTATGTCAGGTGAGGCTTAAAAAGACATACAGTATGTTTTCTATTCTCAATCTAGCCATGCTAAAATACTTTGAAATAATATATTTTGTAAGGTTTGTTTCTTCTATTCAATTTGGTTTGAAATATTTTACTAAATATATTCAGTTATGGTAACAGAAATTTGAATGCTTCAAAATGGGAGTATAACTAATCCTGTTGTAGCATGAAACTTTAACGTATCTCATTCACGTAAGTATTCTGGGCTCCTTAATAGCAGATATTTAACTGTTGAAGGTGGAGGTCTTGTGACAGAGACCTAACTTAAGAGATTCATCTAAAAAAATGCATGTGTGTATGTAAATGGATATGTTAAAAAACCACTTTTCTAAAGATGTAAAATTAAATGCTTTCTGTTGTATCATCTAAGTTCACTGTTGCATTGTGTTTATCACAAATATCAAGCCAATTAGTGTAAAATAGTAGAGTTTACTTCAGGTACAAATTGTTGCCTGTTTGGCTTATGAAATGGAGGTCATCAAAATACAATGCCTCAATAGAAAAAACAGTTCTTAACTTGTGTTATTTCTTTATTTAGAATCTTTATTGTTTATGTACAGGCTGTATGTGTTTGCTACAGACAGGATAATTGCGAAGTTAAACACTAATGCTCTTTGTTTTATAAAAAAAGCTTTAAATACTCCATACTTATCAAACAATGACAAAAAATCCCAACTGATTAAATCAAACATACAGGAACTCTAGATCATTTCCCCTCTAGATGAAAGCAGACTGGGTATGAGATAAAACCAATTAAACACAGTAGTTCCAGAAACGTTGCTTGCCTGATGGGGTCAGTCTCCTATTTAGTCTTCCTTCATCAACAGCTTCCTGGATAGCAGCAAGTACTTATGCAGTTAGTTGATTCCCAGTTATCAGTCGTTTATATTGGTCAAATTCTTAAAGCATTGCAGAGGAATGAAGTCCTTATTCTAGCAGCTGGTTGTCTGTTAGACAGTCACCGGGAGCAAGCTGTGTAACTGGTGAATTAGATATCTGCCCACGGGGCTGTAGTCAGCAGCCTGTGACAGTACTGAGAGAGGAAAATGAATTTAACACGCACGTTGCCTCAATTTTTTTCAGACACTGGCCAGAAGAAGACCCCAGACAAGAAAGATGGGCGACGAATGTCTTTTCAAAAGCCTAAAGGGACTATTGAATATTCTGTAAGTTACTGCTTTATTGTTAGAATGTCATTGCATAGCAAGTGCAGACTTAAAGTTTCATTACAAAATATAAGCAAAACAGTGATGTGCATTACCTTTAATCTTAGAATTCTGTGTATCTGATAGCTGATTTTGACAGGATTTAAATTGGGAATTAGCTAGTAGTACTTGAGTAATGCTTTTTTTTCTTCAAAAAAACTAAGCTAATCAATCTGTTGACTGGTTCACTTTTAGGTAACTAGTTAGAAATAGTAAATAACATTAATTATAAAATCATGTGCAAGTTCCCTGCTTTCAGCATTATTAATAAACTGTTGACATGAGGAGAAATAACAGAATAAAGTTGGGGAGGGAAAAGCTATATCTCGATACTGACCTTCTGGTGTTCTAATAATTTTCATAGATTACCTTTTACTGTACTGATCTGTTTCTGCAGCAGTATCTGAAAATGGAGCCTTTCTCTGCCTGTTCTGTTCTTGAAATGACCCTCAAACTGTGCTGCAGTCAGCTTTTCACATTTGTGGTTACTAAGGGAAACTGAAGTGAGAAGTATCTGTCTTGTGTTATATACTGGAAATATAATTAAGCCTATAAATAATGCTTATAGGGTTGACATTAAAATAGTGAAAATCTGTCACAGTTATCTTTGAATGCTTTTGAAGTCGGACATGATAAAATAAAAATGAGAACTTTAAGTCTTTACTTGACCTCTTGGTGTTCTCTTATTCCAAGAATAAGAGATACGCGGGAGACTTAACTCTTAATGTTACATTAAGCCAAGCTGTGTTATGGCTTAACTACTGAGAAGGCTGTGATAGTCGTTTGGACAGAGGCAGAGGATGTGTGTATTGGAGCAAGAAGCACTTCACTAGTGTGGCTTATATGGAGAATTTGAATATAATTCTAGCCTATACGAAACACTTCCTTGAAGCTGAAATTCAAAAAAGGAATTTCTGCTGCTTAGGTTCTAGCAGCTGAAGAAGAGTAAAGTAAATGTGACTGTTGTTTCTATTACATTAACCCCATTTTGTCTGAAATAATTGGAAAAAATGCTCAGGTGTCACTCTGTAGAACTGGGGCTCCAGTCAGTAAATCCCTTAACTTGTCTCTTGCTACCATGTGCATGCATTTACCTTGGTATGTAAGATTCCAGGCAAAGCTAAAGCACCAAGGTTTCCTGTTTAAAAATAGTATGTTTGTGTCAAGATGTCATGTACTTCTATGTTCCAGTAGCTGGGGGTTTATTTGCAAAAATAACTTTCTTAATAGGTACTGAAGCATGCATCACTTCCTCATGAGTCAAAAAGACAATTCACAAGAATCAAGGATTTTTTGTCTTGAACTTAGTCCAGCTTCTAAAGGAGCCTGTTGCGTCTATGGAACATGGTGCATTTCAGCTTCACAGATGCCATATTGTGTCTGGTCTTGCTCTATATTTCACTCATGAAGTATTTAAGTAGCATTGAGTTTTCAGAGCTTTTGGTTATGTGTTGTGCACGTATGTTTTAATAAAATACACAGACCTGACCTTTAGGAACTGAGCTTGTGTTCGCTATATGCATAAGAGAGGTCTGGTAACTATTGTGATAACTTGCTACTGTTACTATTTATGATGTTATTCCAGGTGGAGAGATGAACTTATGTCTGGTTTCTGCCTTCATCCTGCTACCTCTCAAAGCAACAGCACACATACACATATGTACCCACACACATGTATTTATACATCTGCATGTGTTGCTGCTTTGAGAATTAGTAGAAGGATGAAGGCAGAAACCAGACTTCCCCCCCAGTATTGTTGAAAATTTTGTGGGTTTTTTTTCTTTGTTTTTTTAATAATAATTTAATGTGTTAATTTTTCCAGTGGCTATATGGTTTTAAGGGGGAAGGGCTTATTTGTATTCCTGAAGTTTGGAGTGAGATGGAATCTCACTGATGCAAACTATAGGTTTTTAAGGTGAAATATACTTCCCACCAGAATTTAAAAAAAAAAAAAAAATTTTGGGGACAAATAAACAATAAAATGTATTTTCTCTTTAAAGCTAAAGCCAAAAGGCAGTTAATGTTAAAGATTTTAATCTAAAATTCCCAAAGCATGAAAACTTGGAACTACTGTTCTGTATGTAGCACCAAAGAGAAGATACCAACAGATGTGGTACTAAGTAAATGAAGCAAGTCCTAAACTTCCTCTGAAGGATACAGAAAATTCAGGTTTAATTTTGCTGTTACTGCTTAGACAGTGAACAATTTTTTTTTTATTTTTTTAAGTTAATATAGTTTTTCCTTTTCTGAATGTCAGTCAATGGATTAGATGCAAATTGATATTATCTGTTGTTTCAGAATTCACAGTTGGTGCTCCAAGCCAATTGTTTTCCCTTTCTGCACACAGCTGATGCATGTGAACAGGCTCTAAGGACCAACAGAGCAAATAGTTTAGGTGAATTATTGTTACTAGCTAGAACTTTCTTTAGTGCTTTTTATGTTGTGAAAATAGCATTTTTACATTGCTTATTTGACATAACTTCGTTATATTAACATTGCATTTGAAGTCTCTTGTGTTACACACATGCTGTACAAACAGAATCAGTGTCTGCCTACAGGTGTTAGAGGAGCGAACTACAGATAAAGGAGCATAAGCAGACAGTGTTGGCTGCTGACCACCAATGATAACAGCATGCTAGCAGTTGCATGACTTCAACAAAAGCCTTCTAACCCCTCTTCCTTTTGAGGAGAAACAGGAAATAATTGTGGCTATGTATAGATAGTTTTTTCTCAAGTACTATAGACTATACAGGAAAAGCACTTTTTGTTTAAAAAAAAAAATTAGAAGTGAGCAATGGAGGCAGATGGTATGGTTTATCAGTGTTGGGAGGCTCCAATGTAAGACTTCCCTTTCCCGGCCCCACTCCCTACCCTTTAACTCTCCCAGGATTGAAGGCTGTGCTGTTCTCCTGAAATAGCAGATAAGCACCTAATACACGGAGTATGATGTCCAGATCATGAGAAGAGCCTGATATCAATTAATGAAGGTCACAGAAGCCTATAGTAGACCAGAGTCTTAAGACTGAGTTTTAAGCCAAAGTCCTCAGTTTTGAACTACCAGTCTTCCTGCATGTGATCTTTTCCTGGTTTAATGGCAAGTCCAACATCTGGAAACTGGGTCTGGACTCTTTTTTGTTGCTGTTGTTTTACTTAGAAACCAGTTAGGTGCGTATACTGCAAACAAAACTATGGGGCTTCTGAAGTCAGCTTCTTAAGGTAAAACGAGGAATTTTTGATCCCTTCTTAGCTCAAGGGGTGTGGGTGGCAAGTGTTTTTGTGGTACCATCAATCACGTGAAAGTTTGCTAGACTTTGAACCCACATGAATACTTGGAATTTCTTGTTGTAATGACTTGCTGAACACGTTTAATTTGAAAGTAGATAAATGGTGAGGATCTGCTAATATCTTTCTAGAGTAACTGTGGATTTTGCTTTCAATCCTCCAGTAGCTTGGATAAAGAATGCTAAAAGTTGTTCTGTCTTCTGGTGCAGCTAGTTTTATTGCCATTGTAAACATTTTCCTGCTGTTTAGACTACTACACACTTCAGAGTTTTTGCTTTTTTCTTGGTGCTTCCATTTCAAAGCCAGGGATTGTTTTCTTGTCTGACTGTCATGTTTCTTTGAGCATGCCACTGTCCTAGTCTTCTCAATTTTGGGACATTTGGAAAATGTGGATCATAATGATGACATATTACTTTATATGTTGTATCTTTTACCTAATTTTAAAATTATTTTTGAAGTTGCTTTTTATGATATTTACAAGTTCTGTTTTCCTGCTGTTGTGAATTATAGGCATTAGGCCTATTAATAATTAGCTAATATAGTCATAATCTGATATTTCTGAAGGCTTGTGTACAACACCAAAGTTGTTGTATCCTCTTTTCCCCTTTGTCCTCACCCCTCCTTCTAGACTTCTCATCTCTTTAATTTTGTTAGTTCCTTTTAATACTCTTAAACGATTGTTTTGTTGTTTTCTGGTTCTTGGACAACTAGTCTTTAAATACTTTTTAAAAATAATTAAATAATTCTTTTGGAACTCTGTTTCATATGTATTCAATGTATAATTTTTAATAGAAGAATGAGCGAACTCCAATTGTTGAGATGCAATGGCAATAAAGTTCATTAAAATATCAGTAGAGAAATTGGTTTTAAATAACGTTTTTAAATAACTTTGCCACCTAGTAATCTGGCAGAAATGAAGGCAGTTTGAACCATAGTCAGTGGTGACTCTGAAGCTATTTGTCTGCTGGTGCACACAAGTGCACTTGGCAAACATGGGTATATAAGTAGTGCTCTGGAAATGGAATAGGGGTAATGGGATGTACCTCTGCTCAAATAGGGACACAAGGATTTGAAGAGTGTTTGATTTGGGATTTTATTGGAAAAGGAAGGTGGAAGGTATGGACCTTAAGTCACTCTTTCTGTATTTAGTCATATCTGAAAAAACTGATTTCAGCTAACTTAGAATTTTAGACTTATTTGTATACATATGTAAGTGACTACCTAAGACAGAAGTAACTAGGTAATAAGGTCTTACGTGTCTTATCTCTACGTAAGGGAGTTGATGACTAGAAGCTCTTGCTACTGAGTATAGGAAAGCTACTTATATTTTAAGAAGCTCTTTTTCAGCAAAAGTTACTGTACAAAGCAGAGTTTGTGTGCATTAAGTTTAACGCAGCCCTGAATAAGCGATTCTTGTTTTCTTTTTACATTTTCATTAATCCATATCTTTCAATCTTTATATTCAAGTCAATACACTGAAGGAAGCAAAGCCAATGCATGATATGTATTGAACTACTTTATGGCACCAGCTGGCCTGCTCAAGTCTGTTTTGGATTGTTTCAGGGAATAAAATAGTGTTTTCACATGTCTGGTGGTTGTTTTTCAGAGGTTTACTTGTACTGTAACAAATCTTGCCATTCTATTAAAATCATGAAACAATGCAATCACTGTTTATCATCCCCCTCTCTTCTCAAAAGGGGAAACTTCCCCATGAAGATTCAGCATGGTGCTTTAATATCCAAATATTTATGTAAAATTCTTAATATTCAGAATAGCATTTACATAGCTATATGCATAATGTATAGAAAGTGTGTTTTCTGAGAGAGAAGGAATGACTTTTTGTCCTCTCTTCCAGTATTGAATTGATGATGAAAAAAATTGGAAAAGCTGGGGGGTGGCTGTGGTATGTGGTGGCACATTTTTAATTTGTTAGTTCTTAAACTATGCTCTTCCACAGAGCTATTCTTTCAGCTTTTGGCTGTTTAGATTCTATTTTTTGAAATAATAGCCTGAGAATTGGAAAATAGGCCTTTGAATATAGGGAGATACTTCAGGAAGCCTTTATTACATGAACAGTTTCTTTGTTTTAAGGAGGTATCAGTGCTGGTCTCTGAAATCCCATGTAGTGTGGAGATTTGCCTCTGTAAACTTTACAGCCAAATAAGAAAAGGAAGCTTATATTTGCTATTCTTGTGTTCATGGTTTGTGAGATAAACTCTTTAGTTGCAAAGAGATCTCACCAGGCGGTTTTATTTCTGAAGGCTAAAGAGAGTGAATGCATTCTTAAAGGACTTAAGTTTTGTGGCCTTTAATTGGATGTTTTTAATCAATTTATTTTATATCATAAGTTAGTTTAAAATCTCAGATGTTTCAGTCATTAAGTTATACCTAAGGAATATCTACCTAGCAGCTAACTGTTGTCTTCCAACATTTATGTGAGAGCAAACTTTTGAATTAGGCAAAGCTTTTGAATTTCACTTTACAGTTTGTTTTAGCAAACCTGTATTATGTAGAGCTTCTGATGGAAACACTACTGTTCCTTGATTTGGTGCTCAGTTTTGTTATCGTCTGTGGAACAAGCAGTACATATCTGGTCAGGTTAGGGTCCTGTTTTGATTTCTGCTGTTAGTACCAATTAAAAGTGGCATATGAGAATATTCTTGTATTTCTCATATCTATGTGATCATACAGTACTGAATTACTAAGAGGTACTACAATACAGTCTTTCATACCTGAAATACTAGTAGAGAGAGATGTTTGCTGCTTTGTTTACCTTAATGGCTTCCTATATAAAGAATTGTCATAATAAAATTAGAAATTTATCTAAAAAAAGCTTATTGCCATTTTTTTGGCAATACCTATCTTTTTTCTTTTTTGAATCTAGACTGACAAATGCACCTGTAGAAAATGATAATGAATTCTGTATGGAAAGGAATTCTTTAACTCCTATTTGTGAACTTTAATTATGTTACTATCCCAAATTGCCCTCTGTTTTTATCTGTTGAACTATAACGGTCTTCGGAGTACATTATATTTGTAGCACTTTTTCTTGCAGGACAATCCACTTCTTTAAATAAAGGATATAGTTTGCTTCTTTATATCTGTCAGTTATACTTTGTTATTCTTGTACTGTCAACTTGTGTTTCCTAACATGACATAACTTTGAAAAAAAGTTAATAAAAAAGAAAGCATTTCTTTTCCTAAATTACTTTGGGATTAATGTTATGTTCAGTGTTAAGTTTTGGAATATTTAAGTGGGAATGTGTTCTGAGGAGCAATTAACTTTTTTTATATGCCACTTTTGCTTTGCAGCCAATAGGAACTCTATTTGCCAGCTATTCTTGCAATGCAAATAAAATGTATTAAAATATTAAATATTTAATAACCCAATATTAACTAACACTATAACCTGTAGATGCATATTCCTCGACTCTGGCAAAATGTTTGCTGCTTCTGTGAAGAATGAATGTGCTTTGTTACGTTCTACTGACAGCAAAACATATAATGCTTATTAGTTATATGGAATATACTAACTCAACTGGAACTGTCCACAAAGGTATGGCTGGAAGCAGGCTAGCCCAGTGTATGTTTTATTACTTACCTCCGCTGCAGTGCAGTAATGGAAACAGAGCGTTCTAGTCTTTGGGTTACAAACACTGCCTTTTTCTGTGGGACTGTGTAAGGTCAAGGTCTACTCTCAGAGCAAGCAGTACCAAAAGCTATTAAAACATGTATACTCTGAGACTTTTCCTTCCCTCCCCTCACCCGACCCTCAGGTTTGTTTTTTTTTTCTGCCCCAGTTCAGTTGTTCAAGCAGAAGTAAAGGATACCTACGTTTAAGTCTAGCAACAGCTGGCAAGGCATACAAGACATGGTGCTCCCATGTTTTTGTTAAGGAAGTGAGTGAAGAGCAGAAAACACCTAGAGGGTATGCAGAGTCAGCTAATGATATCCACTGGCTTTCTCAAAACAGTTGTGTGTAGAACCTACACTATGAAGAAAAACATGGGTTTGTCTTTCACTCCCCCCCCCTTCCCTGCTTTCCCCTTGAAAATTAAGCAAAGAAAAGAGAAGTTAAAAGAAAGCATTCTTTTCTGTAATTGCAAAGAAAGTTAAGCGAGTAGCCTGAAAATAGAAGGAAAATTAAACCTGTGAATAATTAGTCTAATACTTACATTTATATAGAGTGGAAGGTGTATAACTTCTGCAGATGTAATAAGAGGGACAAATGAGAAGACATTTAAGATAGGAGTCAGTTGATTTTTTTTTTTTCTAGCTGTGCTCCATATTTACCAATACAAATGTAGCTTTGCTTATATTGCTTCATCTTCTCTTAACTGATAATATTTATTTTTCCTGGTACAGTGTTTATGAAGGCCTGTGCCATTACACAATAAACTACTTCTGGTTGTATGCTCCCTTGTCATATTATCTTCACCATTCTTAAATGCTTGCTATGAATTCTTTATTCTGAAGTATTCTCTGTGAACAAAACTTTGTTCCCTTTGCTTTCTTCTGTTGGTTCATATTGAATGCATTTTGAGAGATGGGGATGAAAATAAGAGCTTGAAAAAAATCCTTTCCTTACTCAGGAATCACCTACTCAAAGTGCTCATGCTCCATCTGCTGTCATAGTGGTTGACCTGTTTTGCTTCAGTATTTTTGCTTTTTATCTCAGTGATGGGTTTTACTTGAAAGTCAGGTTAATGGAAGCTTATTTAAGTAGGGAGAGAGTGTGTTTGCATTTATAGAGATTGCTTCAGCTTTTCTGTAAGTGAAGAATAGAGAAGAAGAGTTGAAGAGGGAGAATGAAGTGTTCTGTGAAACCAGTCAATCATGTATTGGTCCAGTGGTACCCAGCAGTGAATTTATAGACCAGAAGTTCTGGTGCAATAGCTGAGCCTACAGCCTGGTGTGTGACTGAGACTTCCACCCACCTGGAAACAGTGGGAAGGCAGGTGTCCTTATATGGGGTTGCAGTAGACTAATATTTAGGGGGTAGGTGTGTTTGGGGGGGGTTGGTGGGTTTTTTTGGCAATCATAAGATATGAAGACTTAAGTTCATCAAACTCTTGGTAAATCTACACGTGATAAAATTTGTAAGCCACTATTTGAAGTAACGGCTCACAGGTTTGTTTTTCTTTTTTTCCCCAATTGATACAGGTGGAATCAAGAGATACTTTAAACAGTATTGCCTTGAAATTTGATACAACACCCAATGAACTGGTTCAATTAAATAAGCTTTTCTCCAGAGCAGTCGTTCCTGGACAGGTACTATTACACTATATATGTTACTTATCCAACAAAGATCTTTATTCCTATATTCCTCATCTCTACCAGAAAAAGTGTTAAAGTACTTCTCTTACTGGTTTTCCTGTTGGCTTTGTAAAAGAGTTTTTTAATTTTTCTCTAGTTTGTGAATTCCTTGTGCCTATTAAATAACTGCCTAAAAAGGGAACATGTAATGAAGCTACCTGTCTCTCAAATAAGATCAGAGGACCTTTAAAGCTAAATACACTTAATGGTATAATAACACTTGGCTATAAGCTAAATTGTTACTTTGCAAATATAGCAGGCTATTTACCAACTCTAGCTCAGAAAACAAATTTAGGGTACAGCTTACAAACAACATTCCTGACTGCATATTACTGCCTGCAATTCTATTTTAATAAATTGAATAATGTTTCTCTTCCACTCTGAAAACTTGCTGTCTTTACCAGCAGTATATGAACTATCATTCACTTCTTATAGGTCACTATTGCTTACAACTTTTTCTTTCCCTTTTTTTTTCCTTTCACTTTTCACTTCTCTTTGAAAGCCGGGCCTGGAAACAAGTGATAGGTCAGCTGTGGTATTAGCCCTTTGAAAGAATCCTGTGTTTACTTCTGATTGCTGCAAATCTTTGTCTAGGTAGCTTGAATGCCTACCATGGCAAAAATACATATTTAAGGAGTGAATAACTTCAGTTGTTTTTTTTTTTTTTTTTTTTGTACATTCAGCGCTAAGAGCTATGTCTTTGAACTTGTTCCCCAACCTGTTTCTTGGTTGCTCCAATAGTGGAGTAATAGCAAGAGAAATAATTGGGCAGGTGTTCCTTGGTCACTGTATTGGGTGTTTCTGGCATGCTGTATACTTCCAGTGCTTTCTATCTGAACTTTTTCCTCAATTATTATGACTAAAAATCAATCTTTTCTCAAGACAGCATTTAAAAACCATAAAAGCTAAAATTAAGTAGTACTTTGTGTGGTATTGTTTATTTCCTCAACTCATAATTTCTGTTAAAACTAATGGGAGCAGGAATGATTTTGTATAACTTATTTTGAGAAAGCATAGCAAATATACCTGAACTGATGAGAAATCTAAAGTAAACCTGAAAGCATAACTTCTAACTACATTATATCTTCTTTATAGATTTTGTATGTTCCTGACCCAGACTACATTTCTAGTGTGGACAGCTCCCCCTCTCTAAGTCCTATAAGTCCCCTATCACCTACATCTTCCGAAGCAGAGCTTGACAAGGCTACAGTAAATGTAGGTATACCTGTTGTCCTTGAAATTAATTTTCCCTTACAAGATAAATGTTACAGATGCTATGCTTTCTTCTTAAACTATCCTTTTGTTTTGGGGAGAAAGTACTTTACAGCACTTGGAGTTGAAAAGTAAAGTAGTATGTTTTTAAAAGTAAATACAAGCTTTTAATCTTTGTAAATGACAGTTTTCTGTGTGAAAACTGATTTGAAGGCAAGTTATTTGTAGCAAAATACTATCCTTGCACACTGAAATCTAAATAATAGTTCCTGTTGCATTTTTGTATTTGTTACCTTTTAGAACTAGTTAAACATTTATCTAATCTTATTGATAGTTTTTGTAGCAATTGGCAAGAATACTCAAGTAGCTAAAAGGTAAGGGCTCCCCCTGCTCCCTATAGAGGTGTGCAAGGGGGTTCTCCAGTTTCATTTGGCAAAATGAACTAAAGAAAAAAAGTGTTTCTGTGAAGGGTTAATATGGAGTTGATGATAGCTGACTTCTACTTAGTAGTTCTACCTTTGTAGACTTTCAAATACTAAAACTGTTTAGCAGTCAAAGCTGCTCTGTAATTCAGCTCAAATGTAGGATTTGGGCTAGGAGCTAGCTTTGTAAAAGCATGTCTTTTCAGGGACACTGGTTTGCTGTCAACAGAATTCCATGGGCAGATCTCCAACCAGGAAGAGGCAGTATCAGAGTCTGAGTTTCTCTGCAATTTGTACAATTATGACCTCATTCAAATTTTTCTTAATATGTCACTACTATTCTTTTCCCAGTTGTTGTTATCTTTTCTCTCAAATAAGAAACTTTCTTGATAGCGCTTCTCGATAGCTCTCAGTCAAGTTGTCAAATGTCTACTCCCAAGATTCTGTGTGCTCAAAGTTTAGGAACGTTTGAGACTTTAAGCATTTATTTATTTATTTGCTTGCATGACTTGGTCCAGAGAAGTTTAAATATAAAGGTGTTGCTTTGTTGCTGAATAGGTTCCCAAGCTGCATTACAAAGGCTGTGATGACCCTTCTACTTAATATTGCTATTTGGTTTTGCTATTATACCTTTACTCTGACTTAGTATGCCTGTTCTCGTGAGATCTCTGCTGTCATTTGTACCGAATAATTTCTTTTATGTTTTATGGCAAACTGAAGGTGTTGTAGCACAATAAATAGACTAGTCTGCAAGAATGCATTCTTCTGTATCAGTCTCAGAATGGCTGTAAATGCTAGGATAGGCCTACCCATATAGCATATGTTGTGAGAAGTTGCTCAAGGGTAAACTGTTAATTTTACTACTAGAAATCAGAGCTCTTCCTACAATGCATGAAATCCCATGTCAGAAAAATACCTTATTCTTGCTTTTGTGGATTATTTCGTATATGCTTGTTTGCATATAGTAGTTAAGGAGGCTTAATAGCGTAAACATACCTGTAATTTATTTGAAACTTTTTTTATTGACTATATACACATAGCAAAGATAAAGGCTTGAGACTGTAGAAGAAAAAAGTAGATTAAAACGCTTTAAAAGTTAAAATCCTCTTATGCAAAAGGTTGTTTTGTTTAGTGTAGGCAGTTCAATGTTAGCAACAATTTGGGTGCTAGACTTCATTTAACTGACGCTTACTGTATTGTTGCAGAACTATTTTGTGCCTATCACTGCATGTCGTGGATCACTACAAGCAGTTCTTAAATGCCTCAGGGAAAATCAAACAAATGAGTAATGTAACAAAATATAATGAAGAGTTTATGGAAGTTTCTGTTTGAGGTCTTTCGAAGTACATGTAGGGAGGGAAGGAATGTTCCTAGGTACAGTTTTTCAAAAGAAAACAAAGAACAGAAATCACTTGCACTTGTCATTGTGGACTCTGTGTGTGTGTTTGGGTTTTTTTCAAATAGTGTCTCCAGCAATAACAGAAAAGCACTCAATTTCTATTTGAGTAGTTAAGGCTGGAGGGTTTTGTTCTTCATCATAGCACCTGTTTTCCATGTTTCTGTTTTCTGTTTTCTGTCTTTACTGATTGCTGTCCTTACGAATGAGATAAATACTAGCATGTATTCTCTAATGCTCTCTATTGATGTCTGTATTCTTTGACTCTCCTCCAATTTTGACTCCAGATTTGCAGTTTAAATTTAAGCACATTTCAAGGTAAATAGAATGTGTTACTCTGCTTATATAGTGTAAAGGGGGTCTTCTCTCTGTGCTACAGTCATTGAAATTGAGTTCATACTAGAAAGATAAGATGACTAACCAACATCTGAACCTCTGTCCAGGCAAAATATAAACTCTGATACGCTTTGTTCTTTTGTTTCTGTTTTATCAGACATGGGAGTAGCTTAACACAACTGTGTGGCTAAATACAAACCAGCATGTGGCTAATGTAAGACCTGCATAACCTTGTTTAACTGGGTTTTTTTATGTTGCTACACTTAAGCTAAGATTTCACTGTTTATTTCAATAAGTTTGTTAGTGTCATTGTGTGTGTGTAAGAACTCAGATTTTTAAGCCTTTCTTACGCTGCTGGGTTTTGTGAAGGGTTTCTTCATTCAGCAGTCTGATGCACGTATTTGGGAAGATCCAATAAGCTTTACTACCTATAAAACTTAAAATCCACTGCAAAATAATATGTACTGACAAGGGTGTCAGCATTAAATTTGAAAGTCTGCCACCAGTATTATTCCCGCTTCTATGTCGCATGGCAGTATGATTGAGAAGTAGTTGGCTTATTCACAGTAGACTTGGATATCAGCTGGGGACTCTTGCAGCCACTTGCTAAGTTATATGTGTAACAGAATTGACCACATAATTTTTAGGAGAAAGGCATACATAGAAGGAGAACTCATTTCTAGGAAGTTTGCTTTTAAATTATATCTTCATTAGCTTTTTTAGCTAATTCAGTTCAGCGTTCTATCAGTTGGTTTTGGTGTTTTGTTTGCTTTTTAACTAAAATTGAAAGATGCAGGCGAAGGCTAAAGTACTGCCAGAGAGATGATGAGCTGAAAACAATTGCGCTTAAAGTTCCTGGATATGATTAAAGGCATTTAGCTGCAATCTGTACTAGCGAATAGACCTGAACAGAAAAGCACAAAATTAAAGGGAAAAATAGTTCGTTTTTTTATAAATAGTAATATTTTATTAGTAACTAAAAATAGCAATTATATATGAAATGTAAATCTTTAAATGTTGGTTAAGCTCCAAAACAGGGTTGCTGTGACTATAAAATAGGCTTTGGCACAATCTGTCTACTATACACGTAGCTTTTATTTGAAAACAATTTTTTCACTCTCTGTCCTGTCCCTGGTAGGGTTCCATGTTCACTAGTTTGTTGGATGTACTGTTAGACAGCAGGATAGATAACTCTTCCTATTATCTGCCCAGGAACGTCATGAAGGAAATCATCTGGAAGTTATATCCAGGTGTGTGAAAGACAAAGATGGTTGGGAACAGCCCAAGTGAATTTACCAAGGGCATATCATGTCTGACCAAAGTGATTGCTTTGTGTGATGAGGCAACTAGCTCAGCAGATGAGGGAAGAGCAGTGCACGTTGCTTGCCTTGACTAGAGCCGGACCCTTGACGCTGTCCCAAAGCAACCTTCTTACAATACTGGGGATATGTGAACTGAATGGGTGGACTGCAAGATGGGCTGGCAAGAGTTGGCAGGATCTTTGGGCTCAAAGCAGTTCAGTATTTGTGTGTATGGTTGGTCATTTTTTGTTTGTGTTCTGTGGTGGTGGACAGTTAGGAATCCTTGAAGGATCCCTGTTGGGGCTACTGTTGTTTATAATCTGCCATCAGTGACCTGAATGGTGGGACAGAGGACAGAATGCACTATCAGCAAGCTTGGGGGCAGCAAAAGTTAAGGAAAGTGGTCAATACACTGGAGGGAAGGGCAAGGCATCATCAGAGGGACATCAAGAGTCTAGAGAAATGAATTCACAGAAACCTCATAAAGTTCAACAACAGCTAAGACCTGCCTGGGAGAGAAAGAGCCCCATGTGGCAGTACAGGGTGAGGGTTGGCTAGCTACATGGTAGTTTTGCAGAAGACGACTAAGGACCTAGGAGTGGTTGAAGCTAGTGTCCTGACATACGTGTTGAACAATGTCCACTTGTGATGGTGAAGGCTTATCACATGCCAGGTGGCAGATGAAAGAGGAATACTAGCAGGTTAAGGAAAGTGATTATTCTGTTGTCTGCAGGGCTTGTGAAGCTGCATTTGCTGTATTGTGTCCACTTCTGGCACCTGCAGTACAAGACAAAGATTGATTTGCTGGAGAGAGGCCAGTGGAGGGCCATTAAGATGAGCAGGGGATGGAAACATCTGAGGCACAAGGATTGGCAGGGTGTCCTGGTTTCAGCTGGGATAGAGTTGACTGTCTTCCTGGTGGCTGGTACGGTGCTATGTTTTGAGTTCAGTATGTGAAGAATGTTGATAACACTGATGTTTTCAGTTTTTGCTCAGTAGTGTTTAGACTATAGTCAAGGATTTTTCAGCTTCTCGTGCCCAGCCGGTGAGAAAGCTGGAGGGGCACAAGAAGTTGGCACAGGACACAGCCAGGGCACCTGACCCAAACTGGCCAATGGTGTATTCCATACCATGGGACGTCACATCCAGTATAGGAACTGGGGAGTGGGGGCAGGGAATTGCCACTCAGGGACTGGCTGGGTGTCGATCAGCGGGTGGTGAGCAACTGCATGTGCATCATTTGTACATTCCAATCCTTTTATTATTGCTGTTGTCATTTTATTAGTGTTATCTTTATCATTATTAGTTTCTTCTTTTCTGTTCTATTAAACCGTTCTTATCTCAACCAACAGGGTTTACTACTTTTCCCAATTTTCTCCCCCATCCCACTGGATGGGGGGGGAGGGAGTGAGTGGCTGGGTGGGGTTAAACCATGACACAGGGGGAGATGGGTTTGTTTAGTCTGGAGAAGAAAATACTTATGGACAACCTGATTTTTGTGTTGTACTACCTACTAGACAGGTTAGAGGGAGGAGAAGAAGAGTCAGGGTCTTCAGAGGTTCATAGTAAAGTGATAAGTGGCAGCAGCTGCAAGTTGCTGCACAAGAGGTCCTGGTTAAATAACAGGAAAATATTTTTCATGGTGAGGGTGGTTAAACACTGGAGCAGGTTTCTTGGAGAGGCTGTGGAATCTCCAGCCTTGAAGACTAAACTCGACTGGAAGGGCCCTGAGCAACCTGATCTAATGTAGGCTTAGGCCTGCATTGAGCACAGGGTTGGACTAACTGACTTTCAGAGGGTCTTTCCAACATAAAGTAGTGTATAATATTATGGAAGGATAACAGAAGACATGTAATAGAACTTTTGTTTGTTGAAGTTGGAAAATAATCCTTTCTGCTGCCTTCTGCTCAGATTTTGCATGTGACAGTATATTGGATAGTTTCCTCATGTGAGTTCTGATCGTTTTGTTGTTTATTTCCAGGTTGATTCTGAGTATTTTTGCCCACTAGCATTTCTTATTGTGGGCTGGTTAAACTGTGGTTGATTAGTTATATACACTATCAGATCAAAGCAGTCCTTTAAACTGCAGTGGATTTGGAGCCTTATTTTTACACTTGCTTTTATATCAAAGAACAGAAATTACACAACAAAAGGTCTCTTAAAGTTAATAGTGAAAAAGACAGGTTGGTAAGTTCTTTTTTTTTATATTCCCTTTTAGGATCCAGATGGAGTCCAACAGAAAGAGTTGGGTGCTTCACCAGCACATGCGTGTGTTCGTCCTACAAGAGTGGTATCATCCACTTCTGAAGAGGAGGAAGCATTTACAGAGAAATTTCTAAAAATTAATTGCAAGTACATCACTAATGGCAAGGTACTTAAACATTCAGGTTTTACTGTTACTGTATGGGATGTAAAAATGAAGTACATGTAAACCAACATACAGTGAAATTTAGTTACTGATAGGTAGATGGATCAGCTTACATACATATATATGCGTGTATATATATATCCATTTTTTTATTCAGTTTCCTTTGGATTCCCAGACCAGTTGTTTCTTAGATGTGATGCAAGCAGCTAATATGTCATTTACTTGTGACAGACTTCCCCCATACTGTTAAGTGATTCTCTTGTGTTGAGGGCATGAGATCTGTTTGTTCCCTGTGTTAGTATGTCTCATAAGTAATTCTCTTATAGTGCAGAAGAACATGGCTTAAACTATAAGGAAGTATGTAGTTGGGAAGCTTCACTTCTATTTTCCTAAAGTGGAACAGTGTGAGCAGAATTAACCTCTGATTCTGCAAATAAACACTTCTGTGTTGGGTATAGTATGGTAGAAATCATGATTTTTTTTAAAAAAATTTTTATTATTTTTTTTCCTTTGAAGCGGTAGTTACAGTTCTCTCTGTCATTATTCAAACACCTCCAAGTTAGTGGTGCTTAGTTAACTTACATTCAGCTCATAGGTGCGCAGGTCTTGCACGGATTTCTAGGGACTGAGATCATGTCAAAAGCCTTTACCTCAGAATGCTTTAGGAGAAAACAAAATATATTGCTCTCCCACCCCACAGAAAAATGACTATTAGATACTTTAGTCATGAAAAATCATGCCTTCACTCAAGCTGAATGAATGCGAAGAAACTCAAAGTACTTGTAGTACTTCTCCTTCACCTGAAGCTCGGGTATGTGTATACAAATACTGTTATTTTGTGTTGCTCAGCAATAGGTTTGCAGGTAAGTTACTGTGGTGGGTTGGCCCTGGCCGGATGCCAGGTGCCCACCAAAGCTGCTCTATCACTACCCCCCTCAGCTGGACAGGGGAGAGAAAAGATAATGAAAAGCTTGTGGGTTGAGATAAGGACAGAGAGAGATCACTCACCGATTACCATCACAGGCAAAACAGACTTGACTTGGGGAAAATTAATTTAATTTATTACCAGTCAAATCAGAGTAAAGTAATGAGAAATAAACCCAAATCTTAAAAACACCTTCCCCCCATCCCTCCCTTCTTCTCAGGTGCAGCTTTGCTCCCAATTTTCTCTACCACCTCCCCTGCACTGGCGCAGGGGGATGGGGAATGGCCTTTGGGGTCAGTTCATCCCACGTTGTCTCTGCTGCTCCTTCCTCCTCAGGGGGAGGACTCCTCACACTCTTCCCCTGCTCCAGCGTGGGACCCCTCCCATGGGAGACAGTCCTCCATAAACTTCTCCAGTGCGAGTCCTTCTCACAGGCTGCAGTTCTTCATGAGTTTCTCCAGTGTGGGTCCTTCCCATGGGCTGCAGTTCTTCATTAACTGCTCCAGCGTGGGTCCCTTCCACGGGCTGCAGTCCTTCAGGCACAGACTGCTCCAGTGTGGGTCCCCTGCGGGGTCACAAGTCCTACCAGAAAACCTGCTCCAGCATGGGCTCCTCTCTCCACGGGTCCGCAGGTCCTGCCAGGAGCCTGCTCCAGCGCGGGCTTCCCACGGGGTCACACTCTCCTTCGGGCATCCACCTGCTCCAGCGTGGGGTCCTCCCTGGGCTGCAGGTGGATATCTGCTCCACTGTGGACCTCCATGGACCGCAGGGGAACAACCCATCTCACCATGGTCTTCCCCACAGGCTGCAGAGGAATCTCTGCTCTGGTGCCTGGAGCATCTCCTCCCCCTCCTTCTTCACTGACCTGGGGGTCTGCAGGGCTGTTTCCCTCACATGTTCTCACTCCTCTCTCTGGCTGCAGTTGCACAGTTGTTTTTTTCCCTTAAATATGTTCTCCCAGAGGCGCTACTGCTGTCACTGATGGGCTTGGCCTTGGCCAGGGGTGGGTCTGTCTTGGAGCCGGCTGGCATTGGCTCTGTTGGACATGGAGGAAGCTTCTAGCAGCTTCTCACAGAAGCCACTCCTGCAGGCCCCCCACTACTAAAACCTTGCCACGCAAACCCAATACAGTTACACTAATGATAAACAAATTAATGAGAATCTCTTAGAACTGCCTTTTTTTTTTTTTTGTAGCTGATGGAAAGGTTTGCAGATCTGTTCAAGTCTAGACATACGGCTTTTTGACAGTACGTGTATATTGGCAAAAGCTATGTGTTAGAAGTTGGTAAGGCAGGTACTGGAAAAGCTTTGTTACTTTGTTCTACTTTGCAGTTAATTTGCTTCACTCTTTGCATTCTGTCCGTGCCTGACTTTTTTTAGGTTGATCTTAGACAAGTCATTACGTCTCAGTTTTGAGTGCTCTGATGCAAAGGAATTGAGACCTGTGAGCCTCTTAGAAATTGGCTGTACTGGAAAAATATAATCTAGGGTTAAAATTTACAGCGTATTATTTATGTGCTGTAATTCCTCATCAGAATATTATGGGGAGTGTTCACAGCATCTGTCTTTGACTTGCATCTTTACAGCCTATTTTCTAAGAGCTTCAAGGAGAATTCTGTTTCTAAAGAGTTGTGTAATCCACCACAGTATCAGTCTATACGTGGGGAGGTGAATGGGGAGAGAAATGAATGCTAACTTGCTCAGATTTGAGTGCCGGATTTCTTAAGTTTTACATATAATTTAGCCTTTGTGTCACATGTGGTAGGCATGTCCTCTGGCATGTTGTCTTATCCTCTCCTTGATACATTTCCTGATGATGCAGGATGATAGATCTTTACATGTTTTCTGGAGAATGCTTAAAGGATGCATCTCCTGTTTGCCGCTCTGGAAGTGATTTTGAAGCTCATTAACTATTTTATAGGGCTTCAGGTGTGAAGTCTCAGTCATCCCTATGACTGATGCTCATAAACTAAAATCTAGTGAAAGCCTCTTTTTCAATGTGTTTAATTTCACATATGCAAAAGGAGTTGCATTAAGTTAAGACTGTCTAATTTCTCACTTTTCAAGACTTGTTGTTCTGTATGTGGTTTTTGTCACACCTGTGACTTCCTGGACAAGCACACAGGAATTCTCTTGAGATGTGGTGGCTGGAATGTGGAAACAATTGCTCTAGTATTTGCTGTCTGTTGTCTGGTTATGGCTACTGTTAAAGGCAGGGTGTTGGGCACAGTAACAGGGTGGTGTGAACATGCCACATCCTGGTCAGACAATAAATCAGTGTAACCAATGTGCTGCAGTCACACCTTAACTCACTGTTAATTGTGTATGTAGGCATGCCCTTTCTTGCAGCCACACTGTGCACTTCTTTTCTACAGAAGTGTGCTGCTCTTTTTTCATTCTTTGCACTGTTCATGGAAGGCAGAAAAAGGTATCTTAAACAGTCTGCTTGATTGAAACTGAAACTGATAGAGGAGCTTTGAAATTCTTTGTCCTTTCCTATGCTTGCTTGTTTACTTGCCTTGTTTTGAAAAGTAGTAGGTAAAGGAAAATTACTAATACTAAGGCTTAAAAAAACTAAACAAACAAAAAACCAAAACACCAGCCTGGAAATATGGACACAAAAAGGACAAACACATTGTTCATGAAGTGAAAAACAGGACACTGACAAGGTTCAAAACTTATACAAGAAACAAAGAATAAAAGTAAATTGTTATCTTCATGTGAGCTACAGTTTTTGTTCTACCTTATGTGTTCAAGAATGTAATGGAATTATGTAGAGGTAACTTCTGTTTGAGAACTGCTTGTCAGAAGTCCTCTCAAACCTTCTTAAATGTGTGTTTTACTGAACTGCCTAATCTTAATGTTTGGGCTCACCAATGTCATAAAGTTTGGCTCTAATCCTCCCTTTATAATGATTGTTTGAATTTCTGTCTCAGATATTGTATAGGATTTAGAGCTCCTACTTCCTGAGGTTTAAGGAACTGTAATGGAAAGAAGTTAAAACTGATTCAGAACTGAATATCTGCATGCAGGTGCAGTTTAATCTAATTTCAATGCGCATGTTTTTGTTTATCTGGATTAATATTTTGTGGACCAGCTTTAAGACTGAAGGGATCTATTTTTAATAGCCTAGTGTGTCTATACAGTTTTCAGTAATAAAGTGGCTTGACATTTCTGCTTGAGGCTGTTAAATCTGAACTTCACCTGAATAGAAGTTCACTTCACATCTTTAGAATCTTTCTTACATACAGGAAACTTGAGTTCTAGAAGTGGTATTTTGGTGAGTTTTGTTCAAGAACCAGACCTTCCTGTAACAATATCATGTTGAACTACGTAGTAGTTACATGCAGAGTCTAATTTTTACTTCAGTTTCATTGACAGTGTTATTGATACTTTTGTCCTCAACAACTCGTTAGAAGTATGGTCCAAGAGAAACAAGTCACAGGTTATTTGGTGGAAGGTGTCCTAAAAAAACCTGTTTCCCACAGTCCTCTATCAACAGTTGAGCTGCTTATAAACTTTTTTATTTTAACCCCCCCCCTCCACTCCACCCCC